CTCCGCTTTTCTATCTCCTTTTTTTCTATAATTGCACCATCACCCTGCAGGACCCTGTTTGACTGTGGGCTGGTTCCCACAATCTCATCTGCATGTGAAAATTGGACATTGAATAAGGAAGACCAAGAAGAATCTATGCGTTTGAATTATGGTGCTGGAAAAAAAAGTACCTGGACTGCCAAAAGAACAAACAAATCTATCTTGGAAGAAGTACAGTCAGAATGCTCTTTAAAAGTGAGGATATCAAGATTTCAACTCACCTACTTTGGACATGTTTTGTTCGAAGAGACCAATCCCTGGAATGAGACATGATGCTTGGTAAAGTAGCAGGGCAGTGAAAAAGAGGAAGACCAAGATTGATTGACAGGGGGGTGAGGGGGGTTGTACAGTCGTGGTGGTGGAGGGGGGATAAAAGGGAGACAATGTCAAGGAGTCCAGGAATCAAAAGAATGCTTGGAAACTGATTGTGGCAACAATTGTGCAATTCTGCTTGACGTGATTGAACTATGGAATGATATATGTATTCATTCCCAATGAACAATAAATGTTTTAAAAGACTGAGACAGTGCTGTAACAATGAGCTCACACAGAAGAACAATTGCGAGGATGGCCTAGGACCGCGCAGTGTTTCCTTCTGTGGTATACAGGGTTGCTATGAGTCGGAAGCGAATGGATGGCACCGAAGAACAACAACATGGGTATATATATTAATGGATGTGGGAAGGGGCACAATGTCAGGAATCAGGCTCAGAGCTATTTAGGCAAAGAATTCAGGGGTTCCAGTCCCATGAGCACAGGTGGGCACCATCCAGAGTGATACTGTCCTTCATCTCTTCTGATTCCTCTCCCTGGGGGCAAGTTTGGGCAAATGACAGCCAGAGTGTGGTCATAAAAAAATGAAAGCTCTTCTTGCTTAGGTCTAATAGTTGAACTAAAAGGATACATTGATTTCTTATTTCTTACAGGGTCATATCTCTCTTAAAGGGAGCCCATCTGGTGCTGTGGTTTAGGTATCAGGCTGATGACCTAAGGTTGGCAGTTAAAAGCCACCACCACTCCATAGAAGAAAGATGAGCCTGTCTACTCCTGTAACAGTTCATAGTCTCTGAAATCCTAAAGAATGGTCTACTCTGTCCTATGTATGTGAGTTAGCTAGCATGAGGCCAGGAGCCTACTGTGGAACAAACCATTAATTACCCATATACAAGTTCAGGTTGAAGCTGAAGAAAAGTAAAACATGTCCACAAGAGCCAAAATATGATCTTGAGTCTATCCCACCAGAATTTCAAGAACATCTCAAGAACAGGTTTCATGCATGAAACACTAAGGACAGAAGACCTGATGAGCTGTGAGAAAACATCAAGAGCATCATAAAGAAAGCAAAAGGTCATTAAAAAGACAGGAAAGAGGAAAATATCAAAGCGGATGTCAGAGGAGACTCTGAAACTCACTCTTAATCATAGAGTAGTTAAGGTGAATGGAAAAAATGAAGACATCAA